CTTTTGGCTTTATGGGCGATCTGTTCCCTGGGTTCGAAAAGGGCTTTCCTGTCGCGACTGTGTGGAGTCACTTGCGTCGAAAGACGTGCGATGATTCTGAACTGAGTCCGTGCGAACTCCCCCGTACCCGAGCAGAAGGGAAATTCCGGAGGACGACTCCCTAAGCATTGGAGAACGGACGACATGAACCAGGCTCGACAGATTTGTACAGCCCTGATTATTTACTCCCCGACGACGACATGGGAGGGTATAGGGCAACCCTCGAGGGAGGCATGAACAAGTGTTTCATCCTGGCGAAATGAACGGGTAGTCTCTCGGCCCGGCTCTCGTGCGAGCCGTTCTTGCTCCCGCTGCTGAGCCGGCATCTACGCTTCTCGGGAGCCAACCGAGTGTCCACTGTACGCTCGAGAATTTCCGGTGCACGATCTTGCCGTAATTCATTGATGCTTGCAAATACAAAATACGTATAATGGACCGAGGTCGAAACGGTTCGCGAGAGCCATGGAGTTCAGAGCTGTTTCCCTCATCTCCCGCCTCATGCAGGAGACCCGCGAAGAGGATAGCGGACCGCTTCACGTGAGACTGGGAGACTACAGGTGGGCGTGCTAATAAGATCCCAGCCCAGGGAACATCCGCGCAGAGAACGCGTATGGCTTCTGTTTTTCTTTTCTATGTGCAAAAACAATCGCTTATCGACGGGGAGGAAATGAGTTTTCCCCCGCATCGCGAAAATCTCGACCAACCGCTATACAGGCGGAAGAATACGGCAGCGAAAGCAGCTTGATGAGACGGTGGGATGAGACTCAATATCCACGGATAATCCCGCTTAGGTGAGGTTGAACAATGACAAGCGCTCACAGGACGACAAGCGATTTATATCTCTTACGCCAATCGAGTGCGGCGGAGCGAGGAGGGATCTGGAATTTTCTGAAATTTCTCCATCTATCCACACCGCTGTTGTGTGCTCCACCCAAGATCTTCCAGGGTTGAGAGCATCGCTGCTCCCGAGGTTCTGAAAAATCATGTGCTGCTCGAAATCATCCGGATCACTCCTCGGAGACGCGTGCTCTCGTCAGACTATGGCAATATCCTAGAATAGGTGACTGTACCTCACTCCGGAATATTGTGCTCTGGTTGTATTCCTCGCTCAACTCATCGCATTGATGCACCCGCGAGAGAATCCTCTGGGAAACTCCCCGGATCCGTCTTCGAAATCCGCAACGTGCTTCTATCCCTGTCAGCTTCTCATGTCGCAAAGAGTTTTTCCGCTTGGAAAAGGAAGTTTTTCTTAGTCCCGCGCGACACGCACCCTGCCTGCTCTTCGCTCGCAGCGATTGCCGTCATCTCGCTTCCGTTTTCTCACAGGTGAAACGAGAGAAGAAGGACGAGGTGAGCGCGGAATCCATGGAAATTGAGGAGGTGGGAGGGGGCGGAACAGACGGGAAGAGGGAATGAGGAGCAAATGGAATGAAGGAATCAATAGCACCCTCTCAATTCGGAATCGACTCGTCATGTTCGAGGAGCGCTGTTTCGATCGAGTGAGCATCGACTGAGTCCTCAAATGGGTCTTAGCGCAAATCACTTCGCGAGAGATTCCACTTCTGCTCAGGCTCTCAGCTCAATTTTACTCACCGATTCAGTGAGTGGCTGGCTGGCTGTCCGACTGACTCAATGAATAAATGTCCGCCTACTTGACGAACTGACAGATAGGCGGACGCGGGGAGGAAGACACTAAAAGACTGAATCGAACGGAGAAACTCCGATGGTGGCGCGGGGAGCGGCGGGGTCGGGAAGTCTCCCGGAAGGAAAGTCGAACAAGACGAACGACAACAATGGAAGTTATCCGTTGAGGTTGTTAATCAATCGAATGAATATGGCTTTCGATTGGCCGACGGGAAACCAGCGCCCGGCCAAGCACGACTTTCGGACATCTCCAAACTCTGATTTCCTTTGGAGTCTCTATGGGGACATTTTCGCCGGGCGAGGAAAAATGTTTCTCAAACATTCGACGAATTTCTGCTCTCCCCGCTCGGTATGTTCGTCTGCGAGACAACTCAGTTGTTTCCTCTGTCCCGAGCGTCGCGGAGGCGTTCAATCATTTACGCGGATCGAGTGAAACAATTGTGGAGCGGTTTGCTCAAATTCATGAGAACGAATCGCGGGACTCATCTTCAAGACCAGCAATGAACCAATCATGATTTTCCTCGAGCCGCGGGCGAGAAACTCGTACGGTAAAGGTCGGGGAGCGAATCTCACGAATCAGTGTCCATGGGAGACTCCGCTGCAGCGATACCCCTATGCCGATTCTTCGGAATAGACATCGTCAGCTCGAATTCTCTCCGCTTGACCGAAAATGATCCACGCCGGAGGCGGAAGATTCCATTCGTAGGGGCGATTCACCGCTGTCCGATTCCCGGCAACTATTCCACCCGATTCTCCTGACGGCTCCGAATAAATTTCTGAGAGTAAAGCTCAATTTGATGAGAGTTCGGAATTTTTTTCGTCTAAGCGCGCCTTGTTCGAGAGAGTGACGGTACGAGACTCTCACTGCAAACCCACCGAGGCAGCGTCGATCGTGCGAGGCAGAACTTCCGCGGAAGAAGCTGCAATGGTCGAGGAAAAGCTATTTTGTGTTCGTCTCCAAGCCGAGGGCCATGTGAAAAACGTGGACGTGGGATCCGTGCCACTCACTCAGAGATTCAATCCGCTGGCGCCGCCATTACAACTAGCAGCCGCAGAAGTCACCACAGCATGCCCTGAGGCAGATGAACTTATATTAAATTTGCGTCTCGCAGGACAACAACCATACGCGGCTTCTCCCCCGAGGAGTCACTCACGGCTTGTTTCGATTGATCGACTCGTCCAGATTCACTCATGGCGCTCTCCTCTGTTGAATGAGACATCTCTGAGCCGGCGCGTCCCACTGAATTCCTCCGGCGGGAATCAGAGGGCAATTCCCAACGATCAGAGAGGAAACCGAGATTTCGATGGCAGAATGAACTTGACTCGCGGAGGCTTGAGGAGCTCCACTTCAATTGAGAGAAAACTCCTTGTAGACCACGCCTCAGGAACTAACGTCGGTAGGTAATATAAGCAATTTTTCTGCTTTGTGATCCTGATCGAATGGAGGAGCGAGAACCGAGAGATCGAGGACCGAGCGAACGAGGTACCTACATCTTATCCATGAGTTGAGCGGAATCGACTCGATCATCGGCGGCCGCTTTTTGCCAGTTGAGAATGTCCGGAGACGCCGACCCATCTATGAGGATCGTATTACCTCACACCAGAACAAGCGATCACAGCTGAAACCCGAGCTCGGACTGTCGAGCATAAGATGAGGTTCTCTCTACCTGATTCATCAGCCATTATACGTCAAAATTTCGCGTGGACCGTGTTGGTGTTCGAGTCGATCCCACATTTGATGGACAAGGTACCTTAGATCGGAAGCCGATCCAGATCACGATTTCTTCTCTGACTCTCGCAGTGCTTCCATGCGTTCGTTCCCGCGTTCGGGAGTGAACGTCTCGATCTCGTGATTGTGGTCATTCGACCGCTCTGCTCGAGCACTAATGAAGTTGATCATATGCATAATCATTAGCAAGAGAATAGGAACATTCACCGATACGACCGAATGCGGAAACGAGGAAAACGACTGTCGGCGTCGCGAACTCCCCACCACCGCCAACAACGTCTTGCGTTAGCCGAATCAGGGAGGCGGCAAGGAGGAAATGATTGAGGAGGAAACCGAGTTGGCAAGGAACGGAGAGAGAAGCGTAGCTTAGACCAGCAAGGGATTTTCTTGAGAAATACCGAACCTCGATCGCAGTCTCTTCTACCTACCTATGTCAGCTAGGCAAATCGCTAATGACGAACAGAAGGCAGCTCCCGGGTGTTGTCCAATGAAAAGAAAAGACGTGTTAGAATTTTTTTCCTACAAAGTAAACACAGAGTCCGGCAGCAGTCCTCATTCTCTTCGCTCTTCGATTTCCCCTTCGTGAGTCCTCTCTCGCATTCCCTCTCAGACTTGGCCCAACTTGCTCAAGTTTCACTTCCTCGGGAGTTTTTCCTCCCTTTCTCATTCGTCTCGAAGTTCTCAGTGGAGAGCAAACTCTGACCGGTGGTGCCGACGAGTCTGGAAACAGTCGTCGCGACGGAGAGAGATTGGGAAGGATCTCTCGGCATCGCTAGTTCTCTCGCAGGTGAGCTTGTCTCCATGAAGGAACTAAGCAGTCACCTTATCGGAGGTCGTCTCGTGCCTCAGACTCCCGATACAAATGTATTCGAAGCCATGTCGAACGAATACAGGCTGGAAGATGGAGGCGATATGCGACAGGGGGAAGGGGCGAGAGTCCTTCTGGGGCCGCTTGATCCAAAGCACCGTATTTTGAGTTCGAGCATGACGAAGTGAGCTCCGGCGTGAAAGTTCGGCGAATCGACAACCAGCGAATCAGGGATCCAATTCAAACGTATATATAGCCGTATTGCGAGAATGAGGTTGCCCGAATCTGGCAGACAGCTCCGGGGAGTAAGAAGTTCCCTCATGCTGCTCATTCTCTTTCGGCCTGACGCTCGAGTCTCCGCATGAAGACTTCGCCGACTTCTGGTCGATTAGCATTTCAAGCTCGGGTTTCGCGAGGAGGTCCTCATTGAGCCGAATACGTTCCGAGAGAATACACTTCCGATACTCGATTCGCTGTGAAACTTCGCATCCCCCCCATCTCAGTCTCCTCCGACCGGAAGCTGACCGAAGGGAATCTCCGAATCTCTCCTGGCCGGCTGGGCAACACGAATCCACGAATAGCTCCCGCGTAATACTCCTCTCGACGCTGCAATCGGCCGATAGTGGACGGACCATGCCGTTTAGGGAGGAGGAGAAGCTCACGGCAGGGCTCTCCGCCAGAAGGAACCCGGAATGTCTACTAAAGAAGTGTCTTTGTACTTACAGTGACACAGCGCAAGTCAAGTCAAACCGGAACTCGGGTCAAGGAAAAGTGTCCCGACGGAAAAACTGGGAACGAGGACGTATCACGACACCTGAGTTCCGAGCTCAGATGGCTCTCTCCCGAAACATAAGCATCTTACTCGAGCAACTACTTCGGAATTACGACGACAATCAGCGGCCTTACCAAGGGGGTATGTGGGGAGGAGCGCATTCGGGGAGTAAGGGGCCCCATCGACGATTCGACAGTCCCGACCGATCGAAGTCGATAGACACCTCGCTCGGTCACAAACAGCGCCTCCGTCGTCTTTTAAAAGGAGCGGAACCTCTCCATTATACAACAAATCCCATTACGTGAAGAAGAGCCATCGCTTGTTGCAGGAAAGAAATTGCGGTGTGAGGGCCACGCAGTGCGGCTCATCTATGAGACGACACATTGAGACGGATCACCGGCGACGCAGCGATTTGATGCTTGCTGCTGATCTCGGAAGCCCCTCGCTATTCATTTATTAATCAAGAAAGCTTCGCGATCGTGGAGCTTGGTTTGCGCCCGCGCAAGCTCCGCTCGCACGTCGGTCGTCGACGTCTCGTGTTCCTGTCGGTCTTATTCTGTCAGGGAATGAAGTCTAGATTATAGCTCATATCTGACAACAACGTCATCTCTCGTGGCACCGACTGCGAAGGTCCGATGTCTGCTGTTCGAAGCTCCTTTTTTAGATGTGAACGCCTGTCTGGAGAGAGGTAGGGCAGTTCGGTTGCGGGAGGTCACGTCATCGGGACTCATCTTCCGGAGTCTGGTCGTGTTGTAACTTACACGGGGCCTCATGCGCACCCCTGGGGTTCACTGCGTGTTCGTGCGCGGTGCGCGTGTCGAGAATCCTCCGAAAACGATGCTTAGATGGCGAAATGAACGAATTCGTTCCGTTTCAGTTCGGCCAACTCGAGTTGTCGCGAGTATGCTCATACGAAGTATGGGTCCTGTCTCCGAGCTGGATATGGTAAGAAGAATTCGCTAGTCCGTAGCCCCCTGTCGTCTCATTATCTTGCGATGCTCCATGTCCCCTTGGGTCAATCTGTGCGAGTAGCGGGTCGGTGTGCTGGCGTGACTGCATCGCAGTCCGTAAGGAGAGTTCGTTATTTGCTGTTTTTATTGTGATGCTCCGATCGCTGCCGGAAAACCCACGGACGAGCGAGCAAGGGAGCGACCCTCGATCCGCTGCTCTTGCAGCCGGAGAGACAGGGCAATCATCCAGACGGACACTGGGGAGCCATCGGTGGGCGACTTCTCGCCCACAACTCATCGCTCCGTGCGATCGTTATGATTACAAACGACACCACGCACTTCACGGAATCCTCCGGAAATCGCCGCCAAGCAAACACAAAAGAAGAGCGAGATTCCTCATTCACGTCTGGACCGACAAGTGCACTATTGGGTCCGAACCGTGCCAGGATTGGCTAGAGTCGCCTCACAAGAGAATCCGTGGCATCTCGCAACATTCACCGTTCCATTTCTCCTCCTCCTTCTCAGGAGTACTCTATGGACTGCTACTTCCGTCAGGCATGGAATGACCACCGCTTGAAGTTCAAGGGGCCGATATCACCTATTTCTCTTCACATAAAAACTCTCGAACGCATCTGGAAACCAGATACGTATTTTCACAACGGCAGAGGTTCTTACTTACATACGATCACGCAACCGAACAAACTTCTGAGGTGAGCCGAAAAAAATTACTTCTGAGTATTTTCCACGATTCTCCCGAACATACGATGTGGTTTCTCCCTCTGAAACGCCGAGAGCAAAGAAGAAGGGGCCGATATGGGAATTCCGCCTTCCGGTCGACGCTTATTCTCAACCTTGAATTGACTAATCTCGATTCAGGCTCTCGAATGACGGAGCGGTTTTGTACTCCATGCGTTTGACCATTAAAGCTAAATGTCCGATGGAGCTCCAGAATTTCCCGATGGATCGACAGTCGTGTCCCCTCGTCTTCGGAAGCTGTGAGTCTCCACCACCTCGAACGACTCTATTTTTCTCCTGATCGAATCGCATTTCTACTCTCTCGGAACAGCAAATCATGAGAAAAATCACAGCGTCCTTCAGATTCCCCGAATAGAATCGTGGCTTTCTCATTGTTCCCAGACGCATACACTCAGGAAGAAATGGTGTATTCCTGGAAAGCAGCACCTAAAGCCGTAGGACTGGTCGAAGGTCTTCAACTGTCACAATTCGACCTCATAAACAATCCTTACGTCAATGAAACTTTAATCATCAGGAACGGTAAGTCTTACGGTGCCTGCGTGTGATTAGTCTACTCAAAGCGTTCTCAGATGAAGCCTGACGAGGGGATCGGGAAGTGGACTCCAGTCTGACTCCGGCCAAGTCGGAAGTGGACGGCCGGAGAATTATCTCCATTCCAACTCTAGCCGGATGTGTATCGCGATTTCCAAACAGCGCGTGAGGGGCTCTCCGATCTGATTCGGAGTTTCCATTATCGACCTCGACGATGAAATTATTCTCCAGGAATCATCCGGGTCTCCTCCACAAACAACGGCGGTGTTCGGTCTTGCAGCGGTCTCTCGCGTCTGTTTGTTTTTGAGCGAGCCTCGAGCAAGGGAATGAAAGCCCACGGCCCACGTCTAAACAGAACATTCTTGTATCGAATCTACTGGATCGAAACCGCTGGGATGGTCTAGGAGCTGAGGAAGGCCACTCAAGGGTGTCTTCTTAAAGGAATCGTCGCTCCAATTTTATGCCACTCGCGAAACTCCCACAGATTGTCGGGACCATATGCGGTGTCTCGCCTCAGGGGTCAAACCTTCCCGAAGCAAGGTACTTAAACGGCTAAAAATTGCACCGCTCCACCGGCGCTCCGACTAGTGCCTGCGCGGACGAGTCAAGAGAAGCCAGATGGCTGATAGCGTTATGAATATTCCTCGGAAGGGACTGGCGGCCGTGGCGGACTCGACTCTTCTCGCTTCGATAACAACCACTCACTCGACCACGAGATCTCCGGCCGATTAAACATCGGCGCTCCGCGAAAACGAGTTTTCTTACGTCGATAGTGGCTTTCGACTCAACTCAATTCGTGTCCTCTTTCTCGGGATTAGGGAAGAGTTATTAACATCAAACTGTTTTCTCCCATCTCACATAAGGAACCTATTCCGTTTTGCGGGTGAACTTCAATCTGCATCGACACATGGGCTATTTCCTAATTCAAGTCTACGTCCCGTGCGGCCTACTCGTCGTCTTGTCGTGGGTTTCTTTTTGGATCAACCGGGAAGCCACCGCTGATCGCGTCGGGCTCGGTGAGTATGCCCATTTGGAAATTAGCCAATGAGGAGAGCGGTTTCGAAAATTGGACTTGCCGAGTTCACTATTGGGAGCTCTAGATAAGCACAACAATAATTGCCCTTTCGGCTAGGGTAGGGAAGATGGGCTTAGTGGGTAGGTTGGCAGATACCCGTTTGTTCCGATTCTGAGCGGGAAACCAGACCCTGCCATGGTTCGAGCTCACGGCTTCTTGCAGTCAGATGCTGATCTCCCGTTTAGCGAATCGGTACAACAAGAATTTCTGCTCCGGTCCATGAGCTTCAGCACCGAGCTCGACCTTCGAGCGAGGAATAGTTTCCTCAGACTAATGCTTCGCTCACCGTTCCAATCTGCGTGAGTTATACTCACAGTTACGGACGGATGCTCCTCTCTCCCCGAAAGTGACGGAATCCTCTCGGATCTGCGCAGAAACAGTTATGGCTAGAACAACTTCATGCCGCGTTGGTTTAATGAGCTCCTCATGAGGAGCTCTCCGTACATCCGAAGTGGCGCTCTGTTTATCGAAGGATCTCATGTGAACTATTTTTAGAGAAATTCCACGGATCTCCGAGACATCGTAGATCGCTTGCTTCGAGAATTCTGTTCTGCAAATTCCACGAAGGAGTTTGCCATTCCTCGAATGGGACTGGAATTCCCGGAAGAGTTCATGATGATATTTCACCGAGATCCTCAAAAGTTCGGAGCCGATTCAGTTCTCGAACCCATCGCGATTCAGCTTCCAATCTTGCTCCGAACCCTTCGCCGCTCAGGAATACACATAGCGAGCGACTCAACCCGCCCCCATGGATCGCGGATCGGTCGCAAACTACGATTGATTCCCGGACGATTGAAGAAAGCAATCAGAGCTGGCTGTGAATCCTTTCGACGCACAACAGGCGCCTCCGTTGAGGGATACGGATTTCGAGCTCGACGGAGAAGGGGCTGAATCAGGGCGGCAGGAATCAATTCGGTCGCGGGAAGGTGAAAATCGGAGCGAATCGCAGCTTTTCCTCTCTCTTCGGGCAATGTGACCCCCGAGCTCTTTTCGGGAGGGGATTTGCCGACCTATCCCTCAAAGAGGCTTAAACTGAACTGACGCTCACGGAATGTACCCCTGTGCATCAAGTGACAGAGACGCGAACGGAAAACTGTATTCCTCCCGTTCTCTTCTTGAAGGCAAAGCCTGGCGCTCAATGCCGGGTGCCTGCCTGTTCACCGTGAATCTCTGACCTATTTTCTCTTCATCATCCCCAAGTCGTCAAAGCCTGGTCGACAATAGTCGCGGAGCCGATTTCTACCCAGGAAACAAATCTCGATTCTTTGGAGTACGCGGTCGGAGCCGATATTAGGAAGTGAGGAACAAAACCGCTACGGCTTACCTGACGCTGTGGCATGCCCGTGTGAGGGGAGGGGAGCATGACGATATATTCTGAGAAACCATGAGATGTTCTGCCGCAGGAATGACAACCGTCCTCACCCTTTCCACGTTCGGTCTTGACACCCGCACCGATCTACCGAAAGTTCCATACCCTACTGCTCTTGATTGGTTCGTGATCATGTGCTTCACCTATGTCATCTGCTCGCTGCTGGAGTTCGCGGGAGTCCATTATTTCACGAAGGTAGGGCAGATTCAGAAGGACAGGGCTACCGGGGAACGCCGATAGCAGCATTCACGATGCGATTCCGACGAATTACAGGTCGGAAGCGGGGAATATTTCCCTGGAGTCCATACTTATGATGAGCGAGATGACACCATAAAGACCTATCAGGAACTCGAAGCCGATCGAGAGGAATATGAAGATGAAGGAGAGGACGGCGATGAAGAAGACGATGAGGAAACTCCACCCCTCGGTGAGTCTCGCTCAATCAGGCATGCGCGATTCGTCAGGGTGGTCGTCGCCGGTGTTAGGAGTTACCTACTCAATCAATCCGAGCGATCCAAATTATTCCTTCCAAGGTCGACCATTTTACGCGTAGGGCTCGAAGATCGCCGATAGAAGCTCGAAATCAGAGAGTTTGAAGCGTGATCCGAATTACTCACATACACACCGAATTCTTCAGATGAATTTGCCAATTCCGACTTCTTTGCCGAGACTACCAGCTATAACTTCAACAAATGTGCCTCCAACTGCAGAGTGAGTGCCCTCGCCTCATTCTACTTAGGCTACGTATGGAGTTCTGGTGGCACAAAGGCGAGGCTCGTTGCGGTTTGCCCGCGCGGGTCTCCTTCGGGGCGGTATCGATTCGCGGATCGCGACGAGCGTCGGATTTCCGGTCCTCTCTTAAAGAAATCCCGATGGAGAAAGGGCAAAAATTCCAAAACTTCGGAGAAGAGTACGAGGACCTATCCACCAATATGCTGTCGGCAAGCTTCCAATCTCCATCAGGATGCTCACCCCTATTCGCCTGTCTGACTTCAGTAATTAGCGCCGACGAGAAGGTCGGACGGTGACGGATAACAGATGCGGCGGTGGACCTCTGAACAAAAGGGCTGTCGAAGAGTCGTTCTCACTCACTCACTCACTCACTGCGAAGTTCGATCGAGCAATGAGGTTCACAGCGGGATCGGCTCCTGGTTTCAAAGTTTCGCTCAATTCTGTGAGACCGCGGGTCATGGGGAACCTGGGACCGGTCGAGTTCTCGGTCAATTGATAGGAAATGCCGTTCTCCTCCCGTCAATCACTTTGAGTCTTCTACCGTGATCGTCTCGTGTATTGCTCGCGAGGACCTCATCAAAAGCGCGATTCCTTTCGGAGTAACGAGCGAACAGGTGAACTGCGAAGTGCGGTCATGGCTGGATAGCTCCGCTCCTCCGCCTAAAGAAAAGCTTTATCTTCGGCCGGGAGCGTTCTCGGCGTTCCTGGCATATCGCACCTTGCGAAAGCGAGACCACTCCTCGGGAGATAAGGACGCGCGGATTTTCGGAGGGGCCACAAGAACCCCGCGGGGAGACCTCCTCTCCCCTTCTACCCCCGAGAAGTGCGTGTCCGCTGCGTTTGTTCCGAGCTTAGAAAATAATTCCTCATGGCCCAGCTCGCGACTAGCTGTAGGCGATAATCGCCGCGGATTCTGATGAAACGAATAAGTTTTTGCTCGAATCGGCGCAAGATCTTGCGGAATAATGAGTCCGAGTGCAAGGAGAATTTTTCACGGGATGGGACTTATCGAGGAATCGGCAACCCGTATCGACAAGAATCGTAGGAAACTTCCGCTGCCGTTGGAGACGGTATCCGATGATGGAAATCGCTCGCTCCCTTATAATCTCGCAGCCCAAACCCCCGCGGGGCTCAATAACAATTTACGCTGACATCCTCTTTAGTGGTTTTCTATTGCTTCGGTTCCGACTCCTGTCGAGGTTACTTCGCGAGATCGTCGCTGCGCAGCCGACGCCTCAGAGATCACGTGAACGGCATGGGAGGCGATTCTCGGAATTTTTCCCGTATTTCCAAACGAGTATTTCGCTTCGGAGTCAACCGACAGCCACGACCGGTGGACCTTTCGTAAGGGCTCACAGTCGTCACAAGATGTTCCTTGAAAAGTAGAACGCAAAGTGAACGAAGGCCGGAGCTAAGTCGGCCTACCGAGAGGATTCTGCTTTCGTCAACGGCCGAGGACCGGCGTGGCGCAAACACGACCAAGGGGAATTGACTTGACTTTCGGCGGGCTTGTCCATCGAAATCGTCGGAGCAAACCAAAGCTATAAGGACCCTAAAAATGTGTTTTTTTCCTGATTCATTCATCACCTCCAAGGACTGTGAAATTATGCGAGCCCACAGCCTTCTGGACAGTGCTCTGAGACAACGGAGTCTCTACGACGGTGGAGTTCCGAACAATATCGATGGTCGGGTATCGACATCGATGCCGACATTGAACAGCCATTATCTCCCATACGTTCCGGCACCCCCACCCCCTCAGCCGCGACGTTTGCCGTGTTTTCTGGAGTTTCTTATGTGCATGATCAGTCACGAAAAGTACCGAGACGAGCTGCGACGCAGCGCACCCAAAGGACAATTCGTCAACAGTGTGTCCCAGATCGATAAGGTGGGTTGAGTCGCAGCGAGATCTCTTTGCTCGTGCTGAAGCTTCGGATAGGCAACGGAGTTCGCTATTTCCAGGTGTCCAGGGTTTTATTCCCAGTGAGCTTCTTCTTCCTAAACATCATCTACTGGTTGGGGTACGGACATTATAAACCCCCCGGATGGCAGGACAACTTCACCCCTGTAGTTTTCAACCTGTCCCAAGTCCCTCCGACTCCGGTCCCGATGTAGGATGCGTCATTGGAGAATGAAAACCCATGTCTCAGAAGTCCCATCGAGACTCCGAATAAACGCTGTTGAATTTTCAAGTACAAAGTTTAGCTCCGTCGCTTCATTGATGTCCTCATTCGTTGCGGTCGTTCTGTCCCGTGGTTTTCCCATTGAGAGGTCCGGGCTTCTCCACCGTCCGTCCGTTCAGGATTTCTGATGCTGGACTTGTACATTCGGGAAGTGGTCCAATCTATGACAGAGAAAATCGGGCAGCGGCGTCGAAGCGCGGAGCTGAGGGGCGAGAATATCGCACCAAAATCCAATGTTGAGCAAGCGCGGTTGGCGAATCATTTTCATCATAACCAACTCGGTGAAGCTTCCGCCAGTTCCTGTGCATGGGGACTTTGGTCGGCCGTTTGTCCCCGAGCTCCAGTCGATTCCGGCCTTCAGTCGAAGTTCCTTCCGGAACCATTTTGTGGCCGGCTAATTCGAGGTTCCCGGCGAGAGGTCCCCGTGGGCAGCCCAGCGGCCGAAAAACAGGATCCTGAAGAGCCCGAATTCCGAGCTTCAGCTGCACGGCACCAATCGATGTGAATCTCAGCGGCATGAAAGGGCACAAATGACTTTGTGCGGAAAAGGCCCCGCATCGAGCGACAAGAGGCGGCGAGCGGGCGACAGATCGACCGACCGACCGACTAGTCGGGGAAGAGTGCGCTGGAGGGAATTTCCATATGCAGGAGCCACGGTTCCGGAGGCGGGGGCAACAGCAGCGGCAGCAGCAACGGAGGATTTACTGTTGACAAGGACAACAATGAAGTAAGGACCCGCTGAGCGCCGTTCGGGCGTAAGGCGCGCAAACTTGAGAAACCAACTCAACTAACGCATAAGGGTGCATCCGAACAGTGTGTTATTGTGAGCACTTCGTGTATGGAGAGGCAAACATCATATCTGCCCACACGGAAAGTCGGCCGTCCGCTGGTCGCATGAAGTCGTCAGCTCCGCCGGAACGTCGCAAGTACCTCGCCAGAGAGTGGGAAATCTCTTCAGCGGAGATGTGCGCAGCTTAGCCTCGTCGATCGTATGGCTTCGCGTGGTCACCGATTCGGTCGAGTCATATTTGAAAAGCATAAGGAGAATACCGAAAGCATATAACGCATGATGCCGCCTCGAATTCGCGATCCCGAGTGCTCGACCGGGGAAGATCACGAAGAAATACTCACCAAGGAGAAGCCTTCCTGTCGGAGCTCCACTTGAATCGAGGAACAGACTCGAATAAAATGCTGTTCACAAATCGAATTAAATTGTGTTCTCCCGTTGAACACGGGGTCGGGAGGACACTCGATCGGGAAGACAAATAATAATGATATTTCGATTCTCTTCTCCGAGTTTCAATCCCGATCAAGTTGTAACGACACGTACGTGTGGAGAGAGCTTCGAGTGCTGCGTTTGACTCTGAAAACGTGAGTGACGATCATTTCCTTCCAGCTTGAGGTCGGTATCTTCTGGAAGCAATCAGGGATCCATGATTTTTCCCTTGCACTCTCCGTCCTCAACTTGGTTGAAGGATCATTTGTGCCGGGTCAGCAATGCTGAGTTCGACGATACATGACGTAAATACGTTCGAGTCGTACTCAACGGACCTTGAGCATCATCGAGTCGCTATCAGTCAAGTGATTAGCTCCCGTAAGCGTTGAAAGGCGGAGAAGTTGGAGTGGATGCATGTTTTCCGCCGCCGATCTCCCTTTCGAAGCCCGCGATCCGCCTCTATTCAGCGCTAACTGCTCGTTCGGGACTTTCCGCCCGAGTAGCAATCTTCCTCGCCTTCAACGAGAGTCAGTCGCGGCGATCGATGTATGTACAGCCCATCCTCCTCTCAGCGACCTCTATGTAAATGTCAAAGAGTTTCCCTATAGGGTTTTACGAGGCGGAACGCTTCCGATGCCGCTCCGCAAAGCACACAGGGCCGATCGGATCCAGTTCAGATCATACCTCTTGGGCGGATCTCATCCTAACGGATCCAACTCCGAGCAGTATCGGTAATGGTGCTCCACGAGCTCCCAGAAGCGGAGACCTGATTCGTGCGTTCGAATCGGAAGCTCTTCGATACTTCCCGGATTTCTGACGCATCGCGAACGTTTTCCCGCCCTCGGGGCAAGAGTGTGCATACAGGGACAATTCACCTATAGAAGGGTGCGAGGATTCGTCGACTCCGCATCGGCATGAATTGAAAGTATTTTCCAAGTACCAGCTGTGGCTCGAGGATCGACATTTTCTCGCTATTGGTCAATATCGGCCGCTCTGATCGCCCTTCCCTTTCCTCGCTCGTCTGTCCTCCCGCGACATCGACAATCCGTTCTTAGCGCGGGGACCTTATTGAATGTGCTGCTGGTCCGCGCGCACGACACCGGGAGATGGAAGGTCTACTCATCAGGATCAGTCGAGTAACTCCCCGGTACTGTTCATTTTCTCATTCACAATCCGCCGGTCCTTCTCCGCTGAACTCCGGTCTCTCGGGGCCTCGAAGCGCCGAAACGTCGACGGCAAAGTCCGCAAAGGAACGATAGGGGGAAGCTCTGTGAGTTTTCATGAAGACACCGCGTAGCTCCAATCTTCACGCGAATAAAAGTGCCGTAGCTCTGCGATCTCTCTCCCGAGGGCATGTCCTCGCCGACATTCGTCATTTGCCACGCTCTGTTTACGGTGAACTGTGGGACTGGCGGTGAGAGCTTAGAATCAAAGGAATGCATCCAAATCATCAGGATTGCTGTTGGAGGAAAACCTCTATTCACAGAAGCTTCGGCTCTTCGAGGGCCATTACGCCCGGTCACGTGACGTGCTCTCATCGGGCCTATCCGCCTGGTCAGTGTGAACGAGATCAGGTAAGATCCCGCCTGTGCCCCTCACATCCTGTTAAAGCACAGCTCCAATAAAGACGAGCGAGGATAATTTCCGAAAAGGATAAAAAGTACCCATCGATTCGTTTGCTGTCTCCTGGCCCGGCCAGATAACGAAGCTTCGGACCGGCCGAACGACTGGCTGTACGACTTGACGGCTGTCCCGTCCACACATCCGTCTGTTTGACTGGTCGATCTCTCAGACCCGCTGGTCGCGCCTCCGATCGGTCGCGAGAACTCACTTCGCTCCGACTTTTCTCGTCTCGATTGAGGAACGGACGCCTTCGGCAGCTTCCCTCGCGGACTCTGGAAACTCCACGGGTCCACGACTCGGACCCGTCGACGATCTGTGCTCCATGAAAACCGGCACGACACCTGAAAAATACAGTTTGGTCTCCGGAGGGCCTGTGAACTCGCAACGTGGCGAGCGCTCCATGGGTGAACTGAGGTAACTCACGGAACCGATGGAAGGAGACCTTAGAGTAAGGCTTCAGACTGTCTCGCAGTAGGATTTGAATACGACAACTTCCGTATATCATCTCCGGCCACTTATCTACTCCGGCCTCAAGCGAAGCTCTTGAGCCTAATGGGAGACACACACGCGAAAAACTGGATATCGCGGGAACCTCATCTAAAAACATCGCTTGTGTGAGCTCTGCGGCAAAACTGAGCTCTCTTGTTGCAGACTCCTTGCATGGGAAGAAGTCTCAAAATTCAGCTTTCCGCCCAAACGCAAGATGTCCCTATCGGTGGCCTAGATGGGATTCTGGAACTGCCTCGCGTGACCCATCGAACGTGTGGAGCGAGAAGTCTCGATGGTGCTCATAAGATTCCGGCATCTCACTAAAATGCTCTCGGCCGCGGACAAAAGCTAAGATTTCGAGCTCGCATCGATCCGATTCTCTCATCAGGTTATCTAGGATCCAGTCGGGCATTTGGATTTTTTTTTGTCCACAACGAATTTGTCGCGGACAGATCATTGTTCTGTCGTACGGAATTCTCTGAAATGCGATCCTGAGCGGTCGAGACCACCTAATATTTGCATACACATGCATATGATGGGAATCGCGTCCAGGGTACCTTCACGTCAGCTCGCAGAGCTCAGACTCGCTCTCTCGGTATGGCGCGATGCGATTGCTTCGAGCGTTTCGTAGCTTATGCAACCTTCTAAATACAGCCATACGAGAACGATGATGACACGAATACCCCAGGTCCGGCAGAGCGATCAAAAACCCTCTCGGAAGGTTCAGGAACGCCTTTCCTCTGCCCGGAATCGCGCCAGCTCCGTTCCTCGAGGAATTTCGGCGGTAATCTCACCGGAGCGTCTGGTTCGTAGGGGAGAGTCGAACCTCTTCTTTTCGAAATCCCTCGTCCTGCTCCTTTTTCTCGCTCTGGATGACCATCAAGAAATCCCTTTGGCGTCGAACGAAGCTCCCCCTTATAGAGACCAGTGTCTCTGATTAAGCTCAGTTCCTGATTGCTAACAGGACGTCGGACAACACTATTGTGTCGTGTCCCGACTCCGGTTGGTCAGCAGCGGCCTGGATCCCGTTGTGTGTCCGTCTATAGCTGCTCCCACTCATTGACAATCTCGATATAGGAATGAGTGTCCCGCCTTTGCAGGCGATCCCTGTCTACCAGGAGGAACTCGAGGGCGCGACTCCTCGATCTTTGCGGTTGGATCGAACGTTCAAAGATGAGCTTTGTCTCATTGCCACAGCCGGTCATCAGAAGCTAAATTGGAGTTTCTTGGAAACGACACGGAGCACCGTCGATTCAGATAAATCAGAGGAGATACTCAAGCGGCGGTCAGAATCACAGAAGCTACGCTGTAATCCTCCCGAGGCGATCGGGACTATTGGGCATCGGAGGATATCATCCGTTCCCGAGAGAGACTCTCGATTCGCGATACATGACGGGCAGAGAGCTCGAAAGCCCTCGTAGCATCCAGAGATATCGAGGGTGGAGCTGTCTATGCTTTGAAACAGGTACTTCAGCATTGGCCCAAAGATATATTGGAACCATCGGGACAGTTACAGTTCTCCGTGGCCAGCTGCCGGGCCCGAAGATGGGGGAAGCCGCCCCAAACGAAGTCCGAGTGACGATGCGAACCTGCCGGTGATTTGCAGAGTGCTAGGAGAACTCCCAGCTATTCGTCGGCTTATTCGCCTTTGCTTATTCCTCGACGCCGCGCCGTTGTTTTCGCTGCTTCAGCTCTCATCGTCATTGACGTTGTTCCCCTTGGCGGTACTTCTGCTTGATGACTCTGTAAGATGCGAGTGTTCCGAGATAAGTGGACGTTCCAGTTGTCAGCCTATATTAGAACACTACACTTCGAATAGATCGCGTGGACCCTGGAGAGATTTGCAAAGCAGCTGACTTCCCCGCAGAGCCGTATATACCGGTCCTATCTGAACGCAGAACTCCATGATTTCATCGAATGTAGCCTCTCGATTGCTCCAATGAATCCCAGATCGTAAGTGCATCCAAATGAAGCGTTCCCCATCGATCGATCGGGAGGACCCGCGCCACCTATCCGTTCCGATGCTAGAACGGTGCGATTTCTGACCGATATCCGGGCCGGGGTATATCGGCCCAAGGTAGAGAATCCGCGGAGCTCCACCTTACCCGAATCCCGAATCTCTGAATATCTGTCCGCTGTAATCGTCCTCAACGAGTCGACCTGCCAAGTCGGGAGCCGTGGAGTTTGCTCAGCAGCAAAACGAGCGGAGAGAGGGAGAGAGTCGAATTAACCGAGAAACTTTGAAACAGGACTTCCTGTGCAAATCTGCTAACATCATCAAGCCTCGCAAGTTTGCGGGTTTTTGCTAAGTTCGTTCTTACCGCATTCCGCTCAACCGCACGGCCGCTCGACGTAAGCGCCCGCCTCTCATCAGTCAGATGAATTCACAGGGAGGCGAGCTCGGAAGGAGCGATGGAAATAAACTATTCCGAGTTTTAGCTTGAAGCGCGATATCCCGTCGATATTGAATCTCTCATTCGGTGGAACCTCGAGAAACGATACCCGGAGCAACTTGAATTAAAGATTGGGAATAGAAGAGCCTCTTCCGTTTTTAGCGTGGCCATCTCGGTACGTGAGCGGCAAAGCGAAGTGAGTTTAGTTGACCGAATTTCCCGATGTGCGTGGTCGGTTGGTTTCTCTGTTGCTTGTTGTCAACAAGGTAACCGTTCCGACAGTCCGCTTCTCCTGTTCCATACTATTTCCAATCAAAGCTCCTTCCGCACGACGGAGTGGGCTGAACAGAAGTTGCTAAGCGTGCAGAACTTTCTCTCTCAGGGAGGGGCCTCTCGAAGCGGAGAGATAGAGCAGCATGCTCTCTCCGATCGCTGGCTTCGCCGGTCGCAATGAGCTTGCCGGTCATTCCATCATTGCATCACAACCGATACGATGCCAATGGTGAATGCTCAGAGCCCAATGTTTAGGTCGAGATCCTCGGTGCAGAGAATGATATCCATCGAGCCTTGTCTAGAGCTCGTTTCCGAAGACGAAACAGGATTATTACGCGGTATGAGTGTTCCGTGTCAATACCAGCGATTAGAGTTCACGCCGCAGCTCCCGATCGACGACATCCCCGATCCGTGAATTCGTATAAATTGATTCAGTCTAAGACTGCAGAAAGCATATCTCGGTGACGTTAATTCGGGAGAGCGAAGGCGACCAAGGAGCTGCTCGATTAGATCTTGAAGCTCACCCCGAAGATCGCGGGAAGGAGAAAGCGCATCTAGCTGATGAAGTGCTCATGCAATGCCGCGAACATCGAGCGATGTCAGACCTGTCGGTGCCGCTCATCCTCTTCCACGACTGATGATGAATGACCAGCTAGGATTTTCTCCGAGATGAGCATTCCCAGAACCGAATCTTGGGATTCCTTGTTAACTGCGATGAATCGCTAACGATGAGACGGAGATTTTGTCACTTCTTCGATTCATTACATTCGGTAGAGGCTGTTTTCTTCAGTTTCTGGTCTCGAGCGACGATCGGGATGGAGTTTCATTGCACCATAGTTTTGACCGAAACAGGTAATCGGCGGACTCCCGATGCGACCTCGACGCTCCGGAGTATGAGAGTAGTGTTGCTAGTCTCTCCGAATGTGTAGGGGCTGGAATCCGAACATTCTGCCGACTTTCGGGACCGGTTCTTTTGAGCCCCAACAGCACCTCCACGGAGACCCCCGCTTCCCAGGGTGTGAGTCACGCTAAGAGAGAAGCCTCTGCGCGCGGAGAAGTCAATCAGTCGATCGAGTCGAAACTCCCAGCGCTGACTTCCATTGAGCGAGTTTTCTCACCAGGACAAGGCGGAAAGTGCTTCGAACACCAATCGAGCCATGTGAACCAATCGTGGAAATGCCTTAGCGCGGAAGAAAGTCAGAATGATTATCAGGCGATCGATTCGTCATACTCTCCCCCGCGATCAGGGAGATATCTTCGGAGGAGAAATCCCTCAAGGGAATATTGAAGCCTAGCGTCGAAAAACATACTATTGGTCAGAAGCTAAGGGGGAGTATTCTCTGAAGACGCTTCTCTCTTAGGGGAGGATTTTGCGAATTAGTCATCCTCTCAGACCTCAGAGTGGAACCCGTCAGCCTTCTCTACAAGCCCCCTTATCGCATACAAGCCTGCAGCGTCTGATTGGGGAGAGTCCGCTGGAAAAGATGAGCAAAAGCATGTCTGTGATCTGGCGGCTTGTCTTGACTCAGCAGCGCTCCGGTATCCGTGGGAGGATTACTCTGAGCTTTTAACCAGCTCAATCTCGCCACACTGCGCGACATTCACCCGAACAAATGAATGAGACCCTCGTGACAAACCCTCATAATCACACGCACCGGAGGCGAATCTGTTATGACGAAAAAAGGGCTCTCTTCGTCTTGCGTCCGTTTCTCGTCCTATGGGGACGCAATCCGCTTCGATTCCGCTTCTCTAGGAATTATCGACGTCTTACCCTTGGGTCACCTCGAGACAGCTCGGGAGGGGCTGGGTTCACTGCAGAGCGGAGCTTCATTTTCAAGAACAATAAGTTCGCCAGCAGCGTCGAGCCCCTCGACGATCATGGTCGACCCAGAATTCCGGTGACGTCACCAGGTCGCGCGGGCGTGCCCGAGATCCATTTCCGCAGGGGGGACCGGGTCAGGTGAAATTTCAGAGGCTGGGGTCCACGGGCTTGAAACAACCTCAACAATGAGACGGAGAAATTCCCTGGGTGAGACGAGGGAGCAGAAGGGTCTCTACGACGATGGTGGTTCTATCTTTCACTATCGGGAATGACCCGAGGGGGATAGGGACTTCGGAATTTCTAAATGCGATATCTCAACTCAGTTTCCCAGGATATTATGTCGGGTACCCGGGCGAAGTACCCGGCAGCCCGGTTCTGTATACATGTCCAAAGTCAATGGAAATCCCCTTGCTGCGTGCACACAGCTCTGGCATTTCAACCGTCCGCCGCTCCCGAGAGACATACTCGAGCAACATGAAAGACGGAAGCGTATCCAGCTTACGTACGAGTCACCTGCCGCTGCTCAAGTGAAAGGGACAGCAGATGACGGCGAGGGCGACGGCTGCATCCATGAATACCGTGGGACAGCGCGAGCGTCAACGGAACCCAGCAGCTGCTGCTCTGACCGGTCCGCCAGCGGAACGCTGAACGAGCGAACAGGCGGCAGTCGAACCTCGTTCCATTGATGATGATCCCCACCGTTGTTTCTCGCGTCGCTGTCGGCGCGGCAGCGGTGGTGGCGGCGAGAGAATTCTCTCCCGTGACGGTGCCGCGTCGCGAGAAGAAAGAGCGTAGCAGCAACAAACCGGGCCTCTTTCTTGTTGATGTTGCTGTTTCTGTTTTCGGTAGTGGTGTTCATTCTATCAGGCACCGCGCTGTCTTGGATTAAGTGCGAGAATGCGTGTTTCTACCGTACACATGGAGTAAAATCCAAGCTTGAATGGTTTTGGTAGACTCCGAAATCGGAAATGAGTTCTTCGGTGATGTCAAGTACAAGCATGGTGGTAACTTAATGACGAACACCTGCTCCGACGGGAGGAGAACTTCGATTATTCGTCAAAATTCGTCAGTTCCTTAGTCGAATGCGATACAGTCTCCGGAGAGGACATCGATCATCCTGCTCGACCGGTGATCGACTCAGCTCGTTATCCGTAAATGATTCCCAGTGGAAGACCACATAGCTGAGTGGGAGGTACCACGCTCATCCTTGACAACTCTGATCAAGCTCTCCCTGTGCGTAAGAATACTCCAACATCGAGGGCATACGGAAACGTCAAGACGAGAGAAGTGAGCTCGGAATCTGCGAGCAGGTCCAATAGAGGGGATAAATTCCTCCGAAAAACGTCCCGGGATGAACTGCCCATCCCTCACGTTTGAAATGGACTTCCGTTGACAACGGACGCCGAGACCACCGTCGCCGTTGTCGCAGCTCCATTCCACGAAGCGCACAGAAGTTTCTTCTGGAGCTCGCGCTGTTCGACTCCCCGTCTCTCACTACGGAATCGTCGCGATATCGTCATCGGAAAAACATGGGGGCGAAGTGCACATCAATGAGCGGCAATTATAAAGAAGCTAAGCTTCGATCTGAAGAGATTGATCGACAATTGAATCAATTCGCCACTCAGGAGAGTAATGTCTCGAAGATGCTGCTTCTCGGTGAGTTATCAGTCCCCTCGAGGTTGGATCGAAATTCGAAACCCGACGTAGCTCTTGAAACGAATGATCATTGGTTGCCCTTCAATGATTTGCGACGTTGGCCGTCGTGATTGATTTTCGGAAAATTCACATTCTCGAATTCTCCAGGTACCGGCGAAAGCGGGAAGAGTACCTTGGTCAAGCAAATGAAAGTAATCTACAACGAAGGCTTCAGCGATGAGGAACTCCTGTCTTTCAGACCGACCATTCTTGATAATCTGTTGAGCTCAATGAAGTATACTCTCGCAGGTGAGCTCTCGAGGAGAACTATGAATATTCGAATCCCTCGCTCGTCACTACCCAAGTGTGTGAATTCTGTCGGCTTTTCTCGTGATCAGACGACTGATTGCTTCTCTGTGAGCACTTTCCTTAATCGATCATTTCCCGAAGGTATGGGCCTGCTCCGGATCCGACTAGAGAGCTCGCGGAACAAGTCAGCTGCGAAAATAATCCTGTCACATGAACCAATCCGACCGGTATCGGAGAATGAGACGAATTACCATTACACGTTGAGTGAGACAACGATAAAAGCGCTACAGGCGCTCTGGAAGGACAAGGGCGTGCGGACGGCTGTCATCAGAGGTCACGAATACGAACTCAATGACTCAGCTTTATAGTGAGTCAATTCATCATACCTGAACAGGACGATACGCACTGGAACCAATGGCTCGATAATTTACCGATCTGATCGAGTTCAAGCAGGACAGAGGATTTCGGCTCTAACAATCGGCGCTCTACCCGCAGCTTGTTCGAGAACATCGACCGGATCACGGCGGAGAAATACGAGCCAACTGTGCGGGACGTTCTGCGAGCGAGGGTTCGGACCAATGGAGTCATTGAGACGGACTTCATTGCTTGTCAAGGTGCTCTGAGGACGCGCGTGCTGGACGCAGGAATCTCGTTGACGTCCGCTACCCCTCAATGGACCATAGCAAAATGGATGCGCTGCTTCGAAGATGTCAAGGGCGTGATTTTCGTAGTTTCGCTGTCCGGGTACGACATGCTGAAACAGACCGAGCCGAATATCGTGAGTACCGGTTCAGATCCAGTGGTTAAAATCGGCAGCCAATCATTGAATACAATGTTTTTGGTAGCCCTCTCTAATACCATTCCTCCGGCATCGTTCACAGAACCGGTTGCAGGACAGCATCGAGCTATTTCGGAAAATATCATCGAACCGTTATTTCCAAAATTGTCTGATGATCCTTTTCATGAACAAAATGGATCTCTTCCGACAAAAGATCCTCTACTCGAAACGTCACCTCAGGTCAGAGTGAATTCCTTGCATGGACGACAGCTGCATACACCCTTCGGAATCTCAAGAGCTCATTCATCGTCGCGATACAGCGTTTCTGACTCCGAGTATTTCCCTTCACAGATACTACTTCTCAGACTTCAAAGGACCTGATTGCAATGTCGACACAGCAGCTTTATTTATCCAGAATCGCCTCCTGTCGGTGACGCAGAGACCTGTTTTCCCCCATTTCATCACCGCGGTGGATACCGCCGACGTGAAAGCAATCTTCGAGTCCGTTTTGAATATAGTCCTCAAACGGAATGTTGAAAAATATGAATTAATATGAGAAGGGTTGGAATGGGGAAAATTTCCCCCTCAAGTCTTCGGAAACGATGTTGACACATCCGCGCAGTGGATCGTTTTTGTTACGAAATTGAACCTGTATACTGTAAACATTGCCGACTATAATGAAGTTGCATATCGTAGTCGTAAAAGTCGCGGGGACATTCTGGTCGCGAACGATGCAGGAACATCATTCAGGTATTTAAATCTTCCGTACGGCTTGTGCGTCTGTACGCCGTACCTTACGTACGGTTTGTACGTAGCCTCGAAACACCCATACGATGGGTGATGTGTCAAGTCTTTGGGAGATCCGGACGGAAAGTGCGGAAGATGAAGCTTGCTGAAAACTGAATAAAATTTATGGGAGAGAGTATATGATCATTTAGGGATGAGAGAAGAAGATGATAGGTCTCTGGGTAATGATTCTCGAGAGAAAAATGATTGGCATCTTTCCACAGAGATCCGGAGGTATTGCGTGCCCGTCTCCGCCTCCCCCACATTCGAATCATATGCCCCAATGGATGCCCTTCACGGAAAAGACATCCCGTATTGCGCCGCATCCCGCCGGATCGCACGAGATCTCGCCGAGCTCGAGGCAATTCCGTGAATTTCAGTGTAATCTGGCCTGTTCAAGCAGGAAGTTCACGAAGATCACGGAATATCGCGAGATCACGGCTCGATGGAAGTCACCTGGAGCCGTGACTCTGCCCCGCATCGCATAGCCTGCTTACCGTCATCCACTCCGACATCCTATAGGAACCCCACGCTCACCTCGCAGCGGCAAAGCAGCGGTTTCTGATAAGAGCGGACGAACGAATAAACTAGATCACAGACGCAGTCTGATGTTTTCTGAACTTCTCCGATACGATTACAGCCGCGAGGTTCGCCCCTCTCGGAACAAGCTCTTAGCCTGTTGCGGGCACTGTTCCGCTGTCAGTGTCAGGATGAGCGGAGTCCATCCCAGTCAGTCTAGTGGAATATTTCGAGCGATTTATTCTCGCATTTCACTAGACGGAATTCGATATTTGTCCACCGCTCCTTATAAGGAGGAATATTGCTGTCGGTTCTACATGCTTAAAGTCTCCGAGGCAATCCGGGGAGAGTTCCAAAAACTCATTCCTGGTGTCGAGACTGACTCCGACATCCCCGATGTGCTTCCGCGACCAATGGATTCTACAGGCGCGGGAACCTGGAGCATCGCCAGCCATCCCGTTTGCCGATCATGAGGGGTTATGGACCAAATCGATCGCTGACTCCGGGATTCCCGCGGACGGCAGTTGATTCGGAATTGCTCCAGGCAAAGCGAATGCTCGAGCCTGTTCGAAAGTCCCGATTTCTTCGCTCACGCTTGGTTTCCGACCGATTCGGAGAAATTCTGGAAATCTCATTCTGGCCGGAAGTGCTCTTGGTTTGGAGTGCATCCGCGAGGCTGGGAGTTGCGCCGAGAACGGCTCTCTTCGCAAGAGCTAGCTCAATATTCTACTCGCAGGCTTTGTATACCGAGGATGAACCGGAAAAAAATCTCAGGAAAATGATTCAGCAAACAGCTCGAATGTCGTTTGCATGGACTCTAGCACTTCGCAACGACTGGTATCTGCGCGCTCCCGGTGCAGATGATGGTGCACAGGGGCCACTCCCCGCCGTGGCTGAGAAGGAAAACGAGCAGACGGCATGTGTGTTGATGGCGCGCTTTCAGAGTTGTTTGGCGCCGAAACTTGGCGCCCTTTAATAGCCCGGTTTAAAGCCCAACTGTTTGATTCTGTCCGAGTAGGTGGAGTGTATCGACTGAGAACAGTGAGTATCTCGATATTTCTTCGGAAAGCGATCCTCTCATTGTTGGTGCATTCCAATTCCCAACAGTGTCAGAACGGAGTAGTTCCTGATTTGTTCGTATCCTCTATACTGTCCCCGAGGGTCATCTTTGGGCTTCGATCTCCAGCATGATCTCTAGAGATCTCACCGGGAGACTTTGTATTGAGATAACAACTTGGTGATTGGCCCGCTTCGTAGATATTTTTTGAAGGAATGGGATTCATTTCTCGAGGGTACCGAGTGTCGTACTAGAAAGCTCCATGCAGAGTAAGGGAAGCCGTTCGGCACACGGGGGTTGCGAAGAGTAATTTCGCAGTTCCGCGTATTCGCTTTTCGCGAGCAGTACGTCCTGATCACACGCTCGTTGTCGGTGTCATTCCCACCGTAGAGAAGGTGATACCGCTTTCCGGGATCAACAGTCCTCGGCTTAGTCGTCACCGATACCTTGGAATATTTGCCTAAGCGAGGAACGGGGTTTGCAGAATGGACGTATCCGATTTGCGAGCCGGGCCCTCTCACGTGAAGGACACGGTGGGAGAGCAGTGTCAGAAGCTATTCCAAGAGTTCCTCGAGGAATGGGTTGACGACAAGAATGTCAAGAAGTACCATGAGGAAGCATTCATGCTGCTGAAACCAGAACGAGACACGCTCTCGATAAGTCTCACCGATGTCGAACGTTTCAATCAGAGCCTCTGCACCATCATCACCGAGGAGTATTACCGGGTGAGTCTGCGTGAAATACCATTAAGCGATCCCAAGTGTTCGGAATGTTCGTGGCAGTAGCGAAAGCATGCGGATTCGGGACCCACGATGAGAAAGACCGTTTTTCTTCCTCACAGGTCTACCCATACCTCTGCAATGCCGTCAAGAACCTTGTCCGCGACCGGAGTGAAGTGCCGATCGACAAAGATTTTTACGTAGCTTTCACCGATGTCATGACGAACCACAAGGTGCGAGACATGACCATGGTGAAGCTCGGTTCCCTCATCAAGATCACCGGCCAAGTTGTGCGCACCCACCCGGTCCATCCCGAGCTCGTTTCGGGTACGTTCCAGTGTCTGGATTGCCAAACTTGGGTCAAGAACGTCGAGCAACAGTTCAAATACACCGAGCCTTCGATCTGCCCGAATCCCGTTTGTAATAATCGCGTGCGCTTCATGTTGGATACTTCGAAGTCCAAGTTCGTCGACTTCCAAAAGGTGCGCATTCAAGAAACGCAAGCCGAGCTACCTCGAGGGAACATTCCTCGCAGTGTCGAGGTCGTGGTCAGAGCGGAAGCCGTTGAGACCGCGCAGGCGGGCGACAAATGCCACTTCATCGGTAAGTTTGGGATGGCGTCGAGTCATCATCGGTTGGAAAATCGAATGCCATCTCATAGGAATAACAAGTTCCCCCTCGTTTGAATCATTTGTTTTCTCTGATTTCCAGGAACACTTATAGTCGTACCCGACGTGAGCAAGTTGACCACACCGGGCCTCAAGACGGACCGTTCTGGCGCGAGACAACAGCAACAGCAGGGATTCGAGCAGGAAGGCGTGACCGGGCTGAAGAATCTCGGAGTCCGCGAAATGGGCTACCGGACGGCCTTCCTCGCGTGCGGTGTCGAGCCGTGCAATTCGGCCATGGCGAATCGACACGAGGACGGAAGCGAACTCACGCCCGAGGAAATGCGCAAGAACCTCCAACCTCAGCACTGGGACAAGATCTATGAAATGTCGCAGGATAAAGAACTTTACAAGAACCTCATCGACTCCCTATTCCCAACCATCCACGGCAACGATGAGATCAAGCGCGGAATTCTGCTCATGCTCTTCGGAGGCGTTGGAAAGAAGACCCAGGAAGGAACCGCGCTCCGAGGAGACATCAACGTGTGCATCGTCGGAGACCCGTCCACCGCCAAATCCCAGTTCCTGAAACAGGTGGCTGACTTCACTCCACGCGCCGTTTACACTTCGGGAAAAGCTTCGACCGCATCCGGTCTGACGGCTGCCGTCGTTCGCGACGAAGAAAGCAACGAGTTCGTCATAGAGGCCGGGGCTCTGATGTTGGCCGATAACGGCGTCTGTTGCATCGACGAATTCGACAAAATGGACCCCAAGGATCAAGTGGCTATCCATGAAGCTATGGAACAGCAAACCATCTCAATCACGAAAGCCGGAGTTCGGGCTACCTTGAACGCACGAGCTTCGATTCTGGCCGCCGCCAACCCGATCAACGGTCGTTACGATCGGAGCAAATCGCTGCAGCAGAACATTACGCTGTCCGCCCCGATCATGTCGAGGTTCGACCTCTTCTTCGTGCTAATCGACGACTGCAACGATATCACCGACTACGCAATCGCTCGGACGATCGTCAGCCTACACTCGACCGGGATTAAGGATCTCGAGAAATCAAAGGTTTACACCCGGGACGAAATTCAGAGATACATTCAATTCGCTCGCATGTTCAAGCCGAAAATGACAGAAGGTGCCAAGGACTACCTCGTCGAACAGTACAGGCATCTGCGTCAGCGGGATTGCGGCGGTGTGTCGAAATCCGCCTGGAGGATCACCGTGCGACAGCTCGAGTCCATGATTCGACTCGCGGAAGGCATTGCCCGCGTTCACTGCTGTGACGAAGTGAAGGAGAAACACGTCAAGGAAGCCTTCCGCCTGTTGAACAAGTCGATCATCCGGGTGGAACAGCCCGACATCCATTTGATGGAGGACGACGAGGACGAAGCGGCGGCGATGGAAGTGGATGTTGACGACAAGGAGAATCAATCCATGGACGCCCAGGCTGGCAGTCAGCAGAAACCCAAACGCCAGCTCAGTGTCCAGTTCGAGGAATACAAGGCCATGTCGAACCTCCTCGTGTTCGCGATCAGGCAGAAGGACACGGCGGAGGAGGAGGGAACGATGGACAAGCAAGAGCTCCTGAATTGGTATCTGGAACACATCGAGAAAGAGATCGATGAGGTCGACCAGCTGGTGGCGAAGAAAGAACTTTGCGACAAAGTCATCGATAGGCTGATTGCTGACGGCGTCCTGCTGAAAATCGGGAGCGTGGGCCTCAAGGGAGACAACGAGGAGGTCCTCGAGCAACCCGTTATCGCTGTACATCCGAACTATGTGATTTCCGACTGATTCGCCGGAAAGAGCACCGAGTTCCCAGTTTCCCGCTCTGTACATACATATACATACATATATCCTCGAACATCAGGACAAAGGAACCCTCCATTAGAACACAAGCCCGATTTTAATAAATGAAAATTCCTTCAGTCGGTGTCATCATCCAATATACGTACATATGTATAGATGGAGGGTCACTCAATGGCTTATCGTCGAGGGGATCGAAACGCCAAGGCTCCTCCCGGCGAGGTCAGTGGTTCCTCGCTGCGGAGAATGTCCTCCGTGATGGGAGCCGATGATGCAAACGAGTGTCGACTAAGTTATCCTCAGTTCTAGTGAATAACTCCCAAGCGAGGATCGAGGCTCTTCAATACGAGTCCCCGGTCGGTATATTTCCCTGAGTTTCTCCCGATTCATGTGCGACCTGGAACGCCGGTAGCACTTGCTCGCTCTGAATCAAATGACGGTGTCGGCACCATCACGGAAGAAAACTTCTCGGTGCAGCCTCTCGAGCGGTGACCCTGATAGACAGACTATTGGTCAGGATCCATTTACCTCGAGGTCTGTAATACCGACCACTGATCGTTGCGCATCACACGGCGACTCGCGAGAAATGCGGCGGCTCCCAGAGTCGGCCCAGCTTGCGTTGTCGCTCGGATCCGGGAAGTTCCGGAGTATACACCGCTCACCGATTCTCCGGGGTCCTTGCGGCACGATGTGGATCTGGATTTTCACTTCTTGTTCCGTCTCAACGAGTTTCTACAGAGACACAGCTCCAGAACAATAGAAGAGCTTATCTAGCTATGACTGGTCGTCGGGCCGAAGGATTTACGATAGATTTTCGGGAAGCCTACTTTTCAGAATGAGTGTCAAAGTCACCTAACTTTCAGGATAGCCACACTTACGAGCCGTGCCTTGTGAAATATGGTGACCCTAAGGATTGCCTCGGATCGCTTGGCGGTGAGTTATCCGATCCTGAGCCCCTTCCGAGTCGGAGCTTGTTTTTCGAATAGTCCCGTCCAACTTGCTCATCGTTCTCATGATTGACTCAATCTGAATCTCCCTCGTTGAAGATGTTGATCATACTCGGAGCACTCTGCGGTACCGCGCTCACGGAGGAGACCGCCAAGGACTCGGAGCGATTACGAGTCGCAGAATTGAGGGCTACTGAGGACTACATGTTCGCAGTCTTTCAACCGAAAGCCGTGTTGAAGGTCAGTAGTTAACATGAGATCATCGTCGATATCGAGAAGGACTTGTCGCTTGCCACGTCTTCGAAACTACTCCAATCCGAAATTTTCAAGAAATATCTGCCCGGGAAAGAAGCGAAGCTGAGGGTTTCCATCTATGCGGGGAACACTACAGATGCGAGCCCTCTCGCCGTGGAGGATATTTCGACTCCCTTCTTCGATATAGAGGATAAGACGTTTGAGCCTTACGCGGACTACACGATGACCGTGACCCACGGCAATGAAATAATCCTCGAGCAGCATTTCAAAAGTTCGCCTGGAACACCGTCAGAAGTGGCCAAAGTTGGATGGCAAATGGAGGATGAAGAAGGCTCGTCGAGGGCTATCTTACATTGGGATGCGCCGGAGTCGCCCAGAGGACCGATCGACGGGTGAGTGACGGGAAAGAGATGCGGTGCGATCTACGTGAAGGTATCCGATCGAGCGACACTGTCCTCAAGGCTCTCATTTCTCTTTCCTTGTTAGATACAAGATTTCTCATTGTCACCGCGATGTCATCCTTGTGGACGAGCGAAAAACTAAAGAGTCAACCCTTCAGTGCGAGGCACCGAAGGAAACGAGAGACACCAAAATCGAGATCGAGGTCAAGCAGGGCACGCATTACGTGACAACCATCTGGGCATTTAACGAGCTCCGAGCGGAGTTCGGCGAAGCGAAGGGGAAGCGACTCTTGGGTCAAGCAAGCGTGGTCACTCCCAGCCACAGTGAGAATTCCGTTCTATCAATAGAAACTCCAACACGTTGTACATTAAGGTTATGCTCACCCCCGCTCGTTCCCTCGAGGCGCAACCTGAATGTGTCATTGTTTCCATTTTCCAGACAAGATTGTTTCCAAAGGAGGGAACAGCGCCGCACTTGTCACGCTTATCGTGATTTCGGTGTTGCTATCCCTAGTCATTGTGGGCTATGCAGGCTACAAATACTACAGGAAGAATTACAACTGACTGAGAGGAATCCGAGACCCTCACTGGATTCCGGCCAAGGGGAATACGTCGGAAAAATTCATACTCAAAACCCGAAGGCATCGCGGGAACCGGGAGTCCTCGCTCGAGACCGGGGCGCCCTTCCATTCAACTTAGGAATAAAATTTTCTCCCGTGTTCTGACGAATCTTAATGTTCACTAAATGTGCCAGACGACGGCGCAGCCCCGGTGCGGATCGCCCTTGTTCGAATCCCTGTCGATATCATGGCTACTGAGTGTAGTCGAACCCTGACTCCCTGGAACACCAAGCTGCAAAAAATATGCAGCGCGCTGTCTTAGCCATGGATTGGAGTCCAAGACGTCGTCGATCAGATATTGCCTCTGCAGACGAAGGAAGTATCTCCGAAGCTAGTTGCCCCGAACAGACCGAGGTCGCACTTGGCTCGCGCAGCCCACATTCATGGATATCTTGACGGGAAGCCCAAGAGACCCGAGCGTAAGCGTCGGCGAAGGTCTTTCCTCTGATATACCGCTTCTCGCATCACGAAGCATTTTCTCGCGGACTCGGTCAACGGAGTGGAATTCACAAAATAGGGTGGGAGTGGCCTTCGAGGAAGGTGCAGCTCTGATAGGGAGATTACGGGCGCCATTCTCCCGGACGAACGTGTGCTCGTTCGACCGTCGGGAAGCGCTGTGTTCCAATCTCGGCGTTCGATGCCCCTCCCGAAAATAGAAACAGGCTATGGAATCGAATGAGCGATTGTCGATGGTTTCACGAGCGGATACAGTGAGCCGGCATTCATCGACTGCATCATCGATGGTACGATACCATAGCTTCACAAAATCTGGAAGCTCCATGAGCTTTGGACGTGCAACGCGACATTGGATTCTTCGAGAGATTAAGTGATCGAATAATTTCATTCCGGGAGGTATGAAGTCATGAAGTTTAATAATCATTTGGGGACGTATTCGCACGTCAATTAGGTACTAGGAGTTATGTATAATTATCCAGCCGATACTTACGCTACGGTAGCCCACAAGCTCCCCAATTACCCACGGTGAGAGATATCGATGTAAAGGCGGCCGAGAGACGAGAGACCGGAGACGGGACTTGGTCCTACCTCGCGATAAAGGATTCAATCGCCTAAATACTGATGTAGCGACGCCAGTTTGTCAGGTGTATCGGGTAAATCAGCAAGTGAGGTGAGTCGCCTAATTAGGTCTGTAGTGTCAGAAGCAAGCCCTACGACGGCCCAGCACGTGGTCAGCGACCGTAGAGGCGCAAACCAATATTCTCTATGAACCTTATCCGGAACTCAATTGGATAAAGCGAGCAAGCCATCCCCACCCGAATGTCATAAATGGGCTGCTGTCAATGCAGATTGTGTCTAGAGAGTTTGAAAACTCAGTATCAGATTGAGAATTCGTAGAGATTTCTGGCACGCAAAACAAGGAACTCAGGTTCTCATGATAATCAGCTGTACAAGCATTTCCTGCACATACTCTGGCTATGTTGCGGCCCGAACCGCGCCCTTAGAGGCAGTGCTGGTCACGCTCGAGGGGCAAGCAAAGACGGGGCATCGTTTGTTCGGCGGTTTTCTGATACCGTAGTCGATTACACGCGGATGCAGCGTGGTATCCAAGATCTAAGAGGGGCGAACCACGGGGGCAAGGAACTAGCCATCGAGTAACGGCAGCGGGAAGTTCGAAACCCCAGGTCCGTTTGGTAGAAACTTAAGGTCAAGTTAGCGGAGAGGGTTCCGAGACGGACGAGGCTCAAATCGAAGCTGATGATGAGTTTACAGACTTTATTGGGAACCAGATTCTCCAAGCAGGTCAACGTTCAGAAAGTTTATCGAGGATTCTTCAACTATCGTTGGACCCCCTTACGCATTCCGGCACTCAGATAGGAACCTGCTCAGTGAAATGTCAAACCGTCCTTGGTCTTCACGAAAATAATCTTCACGTTCGATCCGCTCGAAGCTTCGGTGAAGCCGACGGCTCGAAAGCGCGTTTATAGATAAGGAGTGTCTCATCTCAACCCAGCTTGCGGAAGGAAAATCAAATGAAACGGGAGAAGTAATCACGAGCGTCCATGAAGTCCAGGACGAGCCTTCTCCGAGCCTTTGTCTCAAGAATTTCTCCACCTCTCTGGCGAGTCACGTCGGATATCCGCCTACAAACTCGCAGATTCTGACTGAAACGGATACCGTTCCGCAGATTCATCATGGGATTCGGCAATTGCCATGAATTGCAGAACACCTCGTGCCGCAACTCAAGGACACAAGTGTGCGGCACAAGGACAACTTGTGCCGAGATCAGACCAATGAACATCCAGCTCTGGACTGGAGTCTGATTCTACATGAACATCATCCGTAACGTCAGCAGAAGCGGCGGCCGCAATCGGCATTCGTGAAGTCCCCAGCCGAGGGCTCTTCTCTCGACGGTCTTCCTCCAGCTCTAGCCCGATCGATATCCCGATCTCTCAACCCAAGGGAGGCGCGGCGGGGAAAAACAGGAGGAAGCGGAGAAGTGGTTTCGGTTTCACATATCCGAAGGGACGGTCAGCGGAGGGAAGGACCTGGAGTGAATACTATTATTCTGGTGTGCAACAATGAGAGGCTCCCTGGGTGAGGGAATTCATGTATCTCTGGAAGCATTTTCATATACAGACTCAGTGATACACGGACTCAGTGTTCTGTGCGTGGGGAGAGATTACAAACGACAGCAGTCTCGCTGTCGAAGCGAAACTTCTCAGAATGGATGAGAACATGGTCATTCCCGTGGAAGCCTACGGCAGCTACATCGGGAAGGCGGATCGGCGATCATGACGGGAAACATCCGTGCCAAGAAGCGAGCTCATGATTCCCGTAATTGAATCTGTTAGACCGGATATCAGCGCTCCGCGACGCGGGAACGAACCTCGGCGTGATAGGAGCGCGGGCACTGACCGCCTCAGTGCAGCGGTGGCCATCGATCCAGTAGCTGTGATGATAGTAGTTGTAGGTCGAGTTCGATGCCGATCGCCTCTGCCCTTCGGCATGCTGTCCTATGTTAGAGTCCACGTGACGGACAGATGGTTCCGATATAGAGCATACCGGCGCTCTGGGCCGCGAGGCTCTCGGCTGGGACCCTTCCTCATTGACGCGGTTTTAAAGACTGAGGGAGAAAAATGCAATGTGGGTTCGTCCTCCGTGCAGGGAAATAACCCGCAGGGAAGATCGGGGGGTTTAACAATGTACCCTCCGCTGCGCGACTACTCCGCGCGGCTCCGACGATGTCGCTCTCGCTGGAGTTCGTTCCGCGAGCGCCCATTGCGCCGATAGCGTGTGCGGCGGTGATGTCGTCCTGTCTGTTTTAAGGCAGTGATCGTCGATAGAGCGAACGCAACAGATGGATGCGAATCGTCCTATCAGTAACGGAGCGGACCTCGCTCGCGGAGTGCTTGGAACAATCCGCTTGCCTCTGACGGTAGTCGCGTAGTATCCCTAGTATAATACCGTATTCTCTCTTATACTGGCACTCCGAGCTCCGACTTAGATGCACCGGCGAATCTTCCCAGAGAGGTGTAGTGCGACCGCTCAGCTCACGTTCCGAAGTTTAGAAATCTGGCTCAGAAATGACCGACGGATCGTTGCACGAGCTCACTCTGGACAGATTTGTCGGGGCATCAGACTTAGAGTCGGGGTTACCCCACTATTAGATAATTTACGGTATATGGACGGGACTGTCCTAGGAACGTATCGTATCCAAAGTCCTCATACTCGAAGGGATTCACCCCGCTCAACGAACCAAACATCGCTGGCCGGAGGGAGTCCGTCTTCTCTCAGAAGGCCGGCACAGAGCTCTCGGCTCTCTACCCCATCCAATAAGCCCTCCAATCAGATTGAAGGACCCTACTTTCAAAAAGCAGCGGCGGGACCGTATAATCGATTCGAAGAAAAGGGTTCGGACAAGGGACCCTTCGCTTCGTGAACGACTCGTCGGAACGGAATCGCCGAGCGAACTTCCACTGTACATACATTTTTTCGAGATATGGCATGCATCCGCGCAAAAATTCAATTCGATTTTGACAAACTACATGCATCTGAGAGGGGGAACCGTGACAAGATCTTATGTCGTTGGAAGCTGTTGATTTCACTTTCCGCGTCTCCCAGTTGAGCTTGTGGAGCAGGCTCGATACACAATGGGTCCACAAACACTGTTTCAATGTGTTTTTATGTAATTAATACATATAATCTTAATCTATCTATATCTATCTATCTATATATCACCATATATGTTGACGATTTCTTGCTTTTCACCAACGACTCGAGTCTGCAGAAAACATTTGTCGAGAGCCTGGGGAAGGTGTTTCCGCTGAAAGACCTCGGGCTTGCGCAGTACTGTCTCGGGATCAGAATTCACCAAGAACCAGAAAGAAAAGTCATTTTGCTCGATCAAGCTGAGAACATTCGTAGAGTCCTGGAAAGGTTCGGAATGACCCATTGCAAGCCTGTCGCGACTCCTAGTGAAGCAGGTACGAAGCTTCTCAAGAGAGCGGAAGACGAGAAGGTTCCGGAGGCGCCGTATCGTGAAGCAGTGGGATGTTTGATTCACATTTCCCAGACCACTCGCCCAGATATTTGTTACTCCGTTGGTGTTGTAAGTCAGTTCTGTTCTGACCCTTCGGAGAGGCACTGGGTAGCCGTGAAGAGAATCCTAAGGTATCTGAAGGGTGCCGTTGATTTACGATTGAAGTTCGACGGTAATGTCAAAGACGCCCTCGAGGGCTACTGCGATGCGGACTGGGGAGGCTGCCAGGAAACGCGCAAGTCTACGACGGGCTACGTTTTCATGTTGGCTGGTGCGAGCGTGTCGTGGACGAGTAAAAAGCAGCCAACCGTCGCCTTATCTTCAAGTGAGGCCGAATACATGTCGTGTAGTGCAGCGTGCCAAGAAGTTAAATGGTTGCTGAATTGTTCGGAGCTGCCCGATATTACCGTAGGAAGGCCCGTCAAATTGTGGTGCGATAACCAAGGGGCCATCCTTCTGAGTGCCAATGGGATACAACATCAGAGAACAAAACACATAGATCTGAGGCATCATTTCATACGGAATATGGTCGAGGACGGCCTCGTGAAAGTCGATTTCGTGCCCACTGGAGATATGATCGCGGACATTTTAACGAAGAGTCTTAC